TCATGACCAATTGGCCAATCCAACACCTTTCATTATATATACCCTTCCTAAAAAAAAAAAAAAAAATCCATCGGCCCATAAAAACAAACAATCGCCAGCGGTTTGCCCGGTGGGCCGCTGGCCAGTCCAGCTATGGTGTGCACGCAGTGATGTATGCAGATCCACACAAGCTTCATATTTTAATTTACTAAAAGGAGACCCCGACAGGATCAAATAATAATAATATGTTATTTTCTGGTATGTCTGGTAGCTCATATTAACACAACCCAACAATTATTATTATTATTATTATTATTATTATTATTATTATTATTTTAAAGGGTCTAACACCTAGCACACTTTTAAAATCAATCATTATATGTACAAAAGAAAAAATATTATGCTTTCTTCAAAGCACGGTCTGCAGGAGGTACGCCAGTTAGCGGAAAACAATCATGGCTCCCTCCATAGGACAAATATGTAGAACTGAAATGAGTTTCCAGAGAGCTCCCTCTAGTGTCAGACTGTCAGACTGCGCTGACTCGTCATTCTGCGCAGCAAAATTCAAAGATCTGTGTGAAAGCAAAGAAAGGCCAGGAGTGCAGAGGGTGCTGTAACACCTGTATCACAGTGTTCAAACACACTCTTCCTTTTGACATTTCTCTGTCAATGTGTGACAGAAAGTTATTAGTTACTGTTTTTTCTGTTTGTACTGCCAAGCATCATCATCATAGTCAAACATGGTGCATTTTTCACAATGGACTATCAGCTGAGTCCCATCAGGAGCCAATATGAAAATATTACTATTATTATTATTATTTTCTAGCTACCAGCTTGCTACAAAGAGCACAACATTCTCCATGTGTCAAATCATAGTTATGGTCCACGAGACGATGGGAGAGACTCGCACACCTGTCCCTTATGAACGCCCTCACACATGACTTGAACGTTAAATGGGCTGATTGCTTTTCTTTTCTCCCGGAGCGCACAGAGCACTTTATACAACAGGCCGCATGTTTTCCTGTGCTTAAGAGGATTCTTGCCCATTGATATTTGCATATTTGGCATGCAAACTGGAGCAGCCAGGGATCAACCCACCAGTCTTCCAGTCAGTGGATGACCCACTCTACCTCCTGAGCTTCTGCCAGGTCCAACCAGTGGACAGTGAAAATGTCCTCATTGCTCCTCACGAAGAAACCTGTGAACACAAAGTCACATCTGACTATTATCATCACTGCACACAGATGAAGGTGCTGCCCAGCTGGTGAACATTAGAGCTGGTTGGACACGACTATGCTGTGATTTTGAGCTGGGTAAAAGATGCTAAATTAGCTTTTCTCTCTCTCTCTCTCTCTCTCTCTCTCACACACACACACACACACACACACACACACACACACACACACACACACACACACACAGTTCAACAATGTAGCAGCTGTATTTCATTTTCTTTGCACTCACAGAAAAAAACTTTGTCTAATCCCAAGAATCCACCTGTCAGTGTTACAATGATGGAATTAAACCATTTTAAATGGGAGAGCTGCTGGCTTCAATAAGACAGTTGATTTTTTTTTACAGCAGAACACTTGGGGCTGCTGCAGAGAGGAAGGAAGAGGAGGAGGTACAAGCTGCAGCTCTCAGCCACAGACTTGCATGCTGTGTTTGGCACTAACTAGCTGAAGAGAGCCATTGCTATAAATCTCTGATGGGGTTAACTTTTTTATTGTTGCTCAAACTTTAGAGCTCAACCCTGCACTTGTGGGGTGCAAAGAGACTGCATGCCAAATAAGAACACCAATTTTCCAAAGCCAACAAAGAGCCGCAGATTAGACAAACAGAGACGAGCAGGCAGTGGAACTTTAACCTGGTGGTGCGCTCAGCGGGAGCGGGACGTCCCCTGCTGGCTTCCTCTGTTGACTTATAATAGAAAGACAATGGAAAAAGCAATCAAAGATTTCCACCCACTTATTACATATATGTATATTTTTTAAATGTGCATTACGTATCTCAGTACTTTGACGAGCTTTCCAACTCACAGCCCACGCTGCTAATTTGAAATGTCGGGACATTTTATTTTCATCCCCTTGCACAAAGCTGTGAGCTCGTCACTGGAGGAACAAGGGAAGGTTAATGGCTGCACATGTACACACAGTGTGTGGTGTGTGTGTGTGTTCAACCCGTCTGTGAAGATGCATATTTTAAATATCAACTCAACACATGAGATGGAAGCATAACCACATTATTAACCTTTCCACAGAGCAGACGTCTTCCTCCCCACACCTGCGGGTAGTGCTTGCTCATAGGGATCAACAACAAAGCACGTTGAAGCGACTCTTGCTGTAAACTGGCACCGTGTGAAGTTATGTGGCTGAACTGAACCACATTATTTAAACATTTATGTAAATTCTGAAAAACTGAATGTTTTAACATTGCGTGTTAATTCTTCACGAGGATACTTTGTTACACTCTTACAGACATGCCCTGTATGTTAGTACATGTACTAACATACAGGGCAACTACTCACCAAATGGATTTCACTGTTGTGGATATAACGTCTTAACTGGTTCATTGTTAATTATAAACGGACTTATCCTTTACTTGTATTTATTAGAAATATTACAGGGAGTGCAGAATTATTAGGCAAGTTGCATTTTTGAGGAATAATGTTATTATTGAACAACAACCATGTTCTCAATGAACCCAAAAAACTCATTAATATCAAAGCTGAATGTTTTTGGAAGTAGTTTTTAGTCTTAGCTATTTTAGGGGGATATCTGTGTGTGCAGGTGACTATTACTGTGCAGAATTATTAGGCAACTTAACAAAAAACAAATATATACCCATTTCAATTATTTATTTTCACCAGTGAAACCAATATAACATCTCCACATTCACAAATATACATTTCTGACATTCAAAAACAA